TAAATCGTGGCACTAACTCCTACCCTTTAATCATTGTTATCTGGAAAAGAGAGAATGATGCTTCTCAGGGATTTTGTAAGAAATATATGAAACAGCATGCAAAATATGTTAACACTTAGGCTGCTCACGTACCAATCAACTCATGTAGTTCATTACATCAAGGACTCAGCACTAAACATGCTCATCACACATACAGTGGATACACTGCTCCTCCCAGGAAGAAGTCCCATTTGTCTTGTTTAATTCTCCATGTGTTTCTGGTTCGTATTGGAATATTTTTATCATTGTAATTAATATTTTCTCTGTAACAATGCAGAAAAATTGGCACCAGTATTTAGAACTTCGGTGCCACTGGTATAAAGGCTTTTGTGAGAGGCCATTTATCAATGCATATGATGATATATTGGCTGTGTGTGTGTGTGTTTGTGTGTGTGTGTGTGGTGTTTCTTTTTGCTTCTATGGATGGGAATGTGGATTCTTCATATGCTAAACATGCAAACTGTCACAGATCTAATCTACTTCGAGCACCCTCCCACACCCACATTTTTGGTGCTATAATTTTCTGATGATCACTTTTAGGAAAAATTTTTGAATTATAAGTGCCATGTATTTTCATGTGTCAAACCTTGTGCAGCTCTATGGGGATATTTTTGAGGCAAGCAATGAGTGTTTATTTGTAACAGAGACTACATTGGCAGTTGCTGGTTTGAATCTCAAGTAATTTGACTCTTTGATCTTTAGTTCTACATGTGCAATAAAAACACTACTTACCCCAGAAATTTTTTTGAAGAGTAATTAATGCTCAAAACATGCTAATTGTCTTTTTGATGATTTTTTCTTGATAATATTGTTGTTGATGATTTAATATAATTGATAATGATAATTTAGTGTTACTTAAATCACTGTATCCCACACCTTCCCATTCTTAACATAGCTCAAACACACAGACACAGTTTTCTGTGAACTATTGAGAAATGTTAAAAAGATAAATTATTTACCTCTGTTTGACAGATTTAAATATTAATATCATGTGTTTAATGCTTAGCCTTTATGGATCATTGTTTAGAAACATGATATCACTTTGATCCTGAAAGAACAAAAAAGAGTTGTTATTACTGTTTGAGAAAAATGGGAAAATAAGGTTCATATAATTCAAGCATCATGCACAGAATCTAATAATTAATAATTAATAATAATTGAGGCCTGGAGAGATGGCTCAGTTAAGAGCACTGACTTGTAGAGGACCTGAGTTTGATTCCCAGCACCTACATAGTGGCTAACCACCAGCCATCCATAACTCCAGTTCCAGGGGATTTGCTGCCCTTTCTGACCTCCATGGGCACTGCACAACATGTACTTACATACATGCAGACAATACATTCATACACATAAAATAAAAATAATAAATAAAATATTTAAAAAGAATAACAATGATTAAGAAAGGACAGAAGCACACAATTTTATGGCAATATAGAACTATGGGATATTTCCCTCTGTTGTATACAAACTTTAACAACAGAACTAAGCAAAGAAAATTTTTCTTCTAAGTTTCCATAATACAACCAGGACTTAGTCATAACCTAAACAATAAAACATCAGATAGATTATGGTGATGTATTTACCATGTGAAGGTCATATTCATTATGTTCTTCATCTATAATGTAACCTTATCATTTGAACAACACCATAACTAAAAACCTTTGCAACAATTTGGAGAAGAGGAAGTATTGGAAGCAAGCTTCTTTCTCTCACAGAAGAGGACTAGTCCCACGCAGTATATGCATCATGCTGGAAGAAAGGACACACCTTTCAGATACCTGTGCTTACTTCTAAGTGGAATTTTTCCTCATTTTTATACCAGCATTACTCTAACCTAATAAAAATTCATGAGATGAAATAGCAAGTATATTTCATATCACATACATGTTTTCGATGATCAAGATGGATAAGGAGCCCAGGTTTTCCAAAACCATTTGTCTTAAATAACAACCTATGCAAACAGGCCATCATTATGCAGTTACTAAGCCATTTCTCATTTAGCAAAATTCTTCAAAAGGGAGGCAGAGAAAGGATATCTAACAGAAGGTTAGATTTTTTATTTAAGTTGTAAGTTTCACTCACTAACCTTGTTAAAAAAAATTGCTGAAACTGTCACAGCCTCAGTTCTCCTCTTTCTACAAAGGAGATGGTATAATCTATCACATACATTTTCTATACTATGACCCTTAATACTCACTAGGACTATATATCTGAGATGTCTAAGGCTGCATTTTCTTTTATGACTTTTATTGAAAATGGAATGCATGTCACTGGTAAATAAGAAAAAGAAAAAGTGGGATGTGGGGGAACACAGTTAAATACTAAAAAAGGTTGGAAGAATCTTATAGTTGCTCATAAAAAATGTTTACCATTTTATATAATAAAGACACAGAGGCTCTGTTTTTATCTATTTGCTCTCGGAGCTAATGCTGATCTTACAGATATGTGATAATGCTAATCTTACGATTATGTGAGATATAAAGAAATCATTGACACGGAAATCATTTTTGTTCAAATAACTTAGATTAAGAATGGCAAAAATAGTTAATGAGAAATGCTACTTGAACATTTCCAATGCTGGTAATTTTTATTCCTCCTGACCAAATTTTTCAATGTCTCTCAATGACTCATAAACCTCTCTTTATACATAAAATACATACACGTGATGCTACATCATGATATCTAGCATGATGATTATGTAAACGTTACAATGTATGTTGCTATATGTATATTGTATAATTACCTGCTGCATCAAGTGAATTCTATAGAATTTGGGACTTTCTTTGTTCATATCAACGTGTAGTTTTATAACTAATAACAATCTACAAAAATCCTAAGCACGTGCACACACACAAACACACACACACACACATACATACTTATTTAACAATGAAGTATTACTGTATAAAACTACTTCATAATATATTAATCAAAGCTATGTTAATGAATACACTATTTCTAGGATTTTTATTTTTGCTATAACAACATTACTCAGTGAACACTTGAATGGAACCAGTTGAGCAATTTAATACAAGAAGTACACATGGAAGACAAATTCGTATTTATAGCATGGCCAAGGAAAGTATTTCTGTATAAACTTCAAATTTTTTGAGAAACAAAATTTTTACAGACAAATAAAATTTTCCTCCATATATATTTCAACAATCATGCCTTTTAGTAGGAATCTTGGATTTACATTTTTAAATTGTGAAGTTGGGTGTTTTTATATGTTTAAAAGTCATTAACATTCAATTATTCATTGATCTTAACAGCATTTCAGTCTTTTGTATGGCTAGTCAATTGTCTTTCATTTTTTGATAATCTTGTTTTAAGAACAATAAGCGATTTCTGTTACGTGATTAATAAATGTTTTTCTGGCATCTCTTTTTATTTTCCTTTTATTTACATTTATTTATTTATTTATTTATTTATTTATTTATTTATTTAACTTGCTATGTAGACCAGGCTGGCCTTGAACTCACAGGGACCTGCCTGCCTCTGCCTCTTGAGCGCTGGGACTAAAGGCATGTGCGACTACACCTGGCTTATTTTTATTTTTCTATAGAGTACCTTAAATGTTTACATAACACTTGCATAAATTTTTATGGCTTCAGCTTTTGATATCTTGTTTATTATGGAAAATTTTCTATATTAAGTGTTCCTTATTACTTAAATGCTTAAAGACATTTTTTTTCTCAAATAGAATAAACCATCTATTTAACACTATTAATAATCTGAAGGTGCTTAACAAAGCATTTTGTACACGGAATTCAAGAGCAAACTGCATCACAACCTATATCTCATAATATTATTTCATAAGTAGTCCTATCAGAATTAACAGAGTTTTCTAATTTATGAAGTAATTTCTTGACAATTCCTATTTTCCGACACCGCACATAGAGCTTCCTTGGGAGAATGTGGAACAAGCTGTCCACTCAGCCACCATTTCTCCAGAATGCTGAGCCTCTGTCCTAAACTCCTGCCATATTTTCTACCTTTTGAGAGATTACGCACTTGTCACCAGACTTTGATGAGATTGCCAGAAAAATAGTGAGGACATATTTCCTTCAGTTCAGCAGGGTTAGGCAGAGAGCACACTTGGGTTTAGTAACTATTCCTTTATCAACCTACCTGTGGAACAGATCTTATGCCTCTCTCTCATAAGGGATTTTTGTCTCACTCATTTGTGACTAATTGCTCATTTGTCACAAAACCTAATGAGAGACTTGGAAGAATGAGAGGGCAAAGTGAAATAACGAATGACTGAACCAATCTTCCCAGTCTGAGGCCCATCCGACTTGAACTTGTGAAGGCATATCAATTTCTTCATCTTTCTGGACCTCAGTTCCTTCTTCAGCAAAACGAAAAGCTTATCAGAAAGAATAGTAAAACAGTGTATTTAATAGTGTCTTGAAAACAAAGTAAACATTTGGAGAATTGGTACAATCACATCAATATGCATTAGCAAGTTATGAGTCTTTTGAAAGATGTTGAATCTTAGAAATTCTAGTGCTAGGTGAAAATGATTACAATTGCAAAGCAAAAGTATATGGAAAAGCTCAGAGTTACCAGAAGGAAAGGTGTTACTGACTACAAAAGTCATACTTTCCGTTTTATGCTCTGTCCCAATACTTTTTTCTCTCACTGGTTTATTAATTTTTGCTTACTTTTCAGAAGTCTTTGGATAGTTTGAAAAGTTTTATCTATAAATTTTGTTTAGCATGTTTAGCTCATAAGGATTATGATAAAGACAGAGAAAGATATTCATATCTAAATACGGAGACATTCATGATATTATTGGATTTCAAATTCACTATCAACCATTAAGAGTATTTTTTATCTTCCATGTAAAGTCTTTGCCTCTTGGGTGGGTCAGGCGGGGAAGGGATTCAAAGAGAAGAAAGCAGATGTATTTTCAATTTTTCCGTTACATTTGTTAACTCTGTTCTATTTTCCTGCAGGTTTAAATGTTTATTTGGCCACTTGGTCACTGAACACAAAATGAATAACTCAACGAACTCCTCTAATGGCTTGGCTATTGCCAGTCCTTACAAGACCTTTGAAGTGGTATTTATTGTCCTTGTGGCTGGATCCCTCAGTCTGGTGACCATCATTGGGAACATTCTAGTCATGGTTTCCATTAAAGTCAACCGCCACCTCCAGACAGTCAACAATTACTTCCTGTTCAGCCTGGCCTGTGCAGACCTCATCATAGGTGTTTTCTCAATGAACTTGTATACTCTTTACACTGTGATCGGCTACTGGCCTTTGGGACCTGTGGTGTGTGACCTTTGGCTAGCCTTGGACTATGTGGTTAGTAATGCCTCTGTTATGAATCTGCTCATCATCAGCTTTGACAGGTACTTCTGTGTCACCAAACCTCTCACCTACCCAGTTAAGCGGACCACGAAAATGGCAGGCATGATGATTGCAGCTGCTTGGGTCCTCTCCTTCATCCTCTGGGCTCCAGCCATTCTCTTTTGGCAGTTCATTGTAGGGGTGAGAACTGTGGAGGATGGGGAATGCTATATTCAGTTTTTTTCCAATGCTGCTGTCACCTTTGGTACTGCCATTGCAGCCTTCTATCTGCCTGTGATCATCATGACTGTGTTGTATTGGCATATATCCCGAGCAAGCAAGAGCAGGATTAAGAAGGAAAAGAAGGAGCCTGCGGCCAACCAAGACCCAGTGTCTCCAAGTTTGGTGCAAGGAAGAATTGTGAAACCAAACAACAACAACACTGCGGGTGGTGATGGCAGCCTGGAGCAGAACAAAATCCAGAATGGCAAGGCTCCCCGGGATGGCGGGACTGAAAACTGTGTCCAGGGAGAGGAGAAGGAGAGTTCCAATGACTCCACCTCAGTCAGCGCTGTTGCCTCCAATATGAGAGATGATGAGATAACCCAGGATGAAAACACAGTTTCCACTTCTGCAGGCCATTCCAAAGATGAGAACTCTAAGCAAACATGCATCAAAATTGTCACCAAAACCCAAAAAGGTGACTCATGCACCCCAACAAGTACCACTGTGGAGCTGGTTGGGTCATCAGGTCAGAATGGAGATGAGAAACAGAACATTGTAGCCCGCAAGATTGTGAAGATGACCAAGCAGCCTGCCAAAAAGAAGCCACCTCCATCCCGGGAAAAGAAAGTGACCAGGACAATCTTGGCTATTCTCTTGGCTTTCATCATCACCTGGGCCCCATACAATGTCATGGTGCTCATCAACACCTTCTGTACACCCTGTATCCCCAACACAGTGTGGACAATTGGCTACTGGCTCTGTTACATCAATAGCACTATCAACCCTGCCTGCTATGCACTTTGTAACGCCACCTTCAAAAAGACCTTTAAGCATCTTCTCATGTGCCATTACAAGAACATAGGCGCTACCAGGTAAACCCATTTAAAACAAAGAAAGGTGATGAAAGGGAGCTTAGGAAGAAGAAAAAAGGCTAAGAAAGTCTCTGCAATTGCACTCACAGTCTTACTATGAAACGTGCAATTAAGGAGCTCTAGAGTGATACTCTCAACATGTCCATGCTCCAGTTTGAAAGATTTGCACCTTCTAAACCCTGCCAATTTAGGAGCAACAATACAATGAGAGCAGACATTGCAAATGGTGGGTTTCTCATACTCTTTTGAAGAAGGGCTTCTGAATCTACAATTTTATCTGTATGCACAAGAAGAATAACCACCATCCGTTTGTTGTTTCTTTCTGTTGTCCCCATGTGTCCAGATGAGAAAGAAATGCTACAGCAACAGGCTATCATAGAGACGCAAACATAAAGACACAGACATTACATGATGGGGAATGTGAAGAAAGAAAGTCAAGGAGGAGATGCAGAAACGGTCTGCGGAGCATTCCGCACAATCTGCTTTCTGGGTTTGATCTGATTTGAAGGATTTTAGTGTAACCGGTACACATTTCTTCACTCTTCTCTCATTACAAGAAATAAGAACACAAACCAACAGAAAACCAACTAGGTCACACTATTTTTTCTCTAATTACAGTATTAGCTTTTGTACTTTCTGGTTTTATATTATGTAAGGTATTTTATACCTGCAAGACATCTACTAAGTCCAGCCAGAGTCAACTCTGAAAATGATCACTCCCCATCTTCCCACTGTGTCCGTTGCATGCTGTGAGGACATAGAAACCCATAAGGATCTAATTCACTTTGTTCCTTTGTATGGACTATTTTAACCCATCTTATTTTCTTCTATACTGTCCTTTTATTTTAACAAAATAGCCTCCCAAAGACAGAAACATGCTTGGGAAACCAAAGTCATTTAAAATTAAAATTTTGTCCCATTAGAAGATGATCAGTCTAGCTGGAGAAAGTTCACTGTGGGCAGATGAAGCTTGAGATGAGGAAACAGAGGCTGGAAGTCTGTTCTGTTTGAACCTGAACATACTGACCCATGTGCAAAATGTTAACATTCACACCATGAACTCCTGACTTTGTCAGCAGGAAGAGATTGCTGCTTTACTCATTTGGAATATTAAACAAGATTAGTTTACTGGGTCAATTCCAGGAGAATAAGACCTTAGTTTCTGTGTCTGCTAGCAGATGATATTCAAATTATACTCAAGTGAGGTTGTCGGTAGCCATACCATGACACAATGGCAGGGGCAAAGGGCCATGCCAAAACATTTACTGAAACTACTCACTCCATGTTCTTCAAATTATCAATTTTCTACAAGATTATAAAGCTTCAGAATTCTCTCATCAGTAGAATTATATCAATCTTTGTGACACATATAATAGATAACCAAAAAGAGGCAAAAATAACTCATTAAATCTGACAAAAGTGTATAGGTGGCTGTAGCCATTTTTCAGCATCTAATTTGACCAAAAAAAGTTGTGTCAGAGATAATTTTCTAAAAGGTAGCATTATGTAGCATCTTGTCTATGTTGGGAATTTGCACTTGTTAGTCTAAAATATAGAGTTACATTGATTATACATATTTAACTAGCTATTTTTGTCTCTCCTATGTTTCCTTCCATTATATTTTTATTTTAAATTGGGGGTTTTATTTCAATATTCCTTAATTTTGTTGCCAATATTATTCCAGCTTTGGGACTATATAAAACTAAAAGGGTTTTACACAGCAAAAGAACCAATTAACAGAGTAAAATGAGGACCATACAATAAGAGCGTATTTGTAAACCGTATATCTGATAAGGATTCCTATCCAATGTATATTGCTTGCTTTATTTGTTATAGTCACACTTGCTAAATAAGGCCCAATGGATAGAAGTTCAACCTTTCATTTATGAACTTTATGATATCTTCCCTGCTATTAATGATGTGTCACATGACAACATTGTCATTATGAAGTCCTAGGGCTTATTAGAGTTATTTTGTGTAAGACGTTCCATATTGGTGCCATCTCTGCAAGTGGGAGATAAGGGATAAAAACAACAATAAAACCAAGCCGTAAGTTAACAAGAAGTAATTTGCCAACAATGTATGTACTTAACTCATAATGAAAATAATGTCTCCTTTGAATACCTTCAGTTGTGCTCTTCTTGAAATCTCCTATGTATAAAGGATAGCATTGGTTCACACAGATTCATTTAGACTAAAATTAGTTGATGTAGATTTCTTTAGTTCATCATCACCAAAAATGTAAATTTTACATTTTAAATTCATATTTATTTTTAGGTTGTTCATTCAAATACTTGTTTGAGAGGACTTCAAATCAATGAACTTCTTGGTTTCCTATAAAGAGAATGATCAATTTGCTGATACTTTCATTTTTTAAAGTGTTGTACTATTATGATGGAGACACGGCTGCCAGTGAGACCACCACTTTGGTGGCCAAGATTCAGTGTCTATTCCTGTTTGTTCTAAACCCAATCCATCATGATCCAAAGTTCTTTTCTCGCACGCTATTATATTCCTCTCTTGCTTTGTTCTGTGCCTAATATTTGCAGCAGTTACCACAACCTCAGTGAAAGAGAAATTGTCACTCAAGAAAAGAACTGAAGCTTGACTGGCATCCCGTGGAAGCTTTCTCAACCAGGATCAGAAGAAAGGGGAGGACATTGAAATGACTGCAGTGAGACTGAGACTGTCTTCAAAGGGCTGTCTCCCCGTTGCTGGTTTTGCTCCTTTCTCTGGCTTGCAATCAGATGTAATTTTTACCCTGTGGACACAGAGATATGTAGAGCTGGGAATAGGCATTTGTGTCTAAAGGGAAGGGACGGCGAGTTCTGCTGTGCAACACACAATGCAGAGGACAGGCTCCCTGCACCCTTGGAATAAGAATTATGTGGCTCAAAATGGAAACAGTAGCAGGACTGAGAAAGTCTGGTTTATATTAAGGAATTTCTTGAGCTTCCCTTCTATAATCCTCCATGATTTAAAAAAGATTAATATAAATTGTTCACCTGATAGACTAAAAGTAATCCTTACTCATCAGATATCAGAAACACTCCTCCATTAATACTGTAGGATTTGAAAATCACAGGCAGGAGCACAGGCCACACTTACATCAAAATCAGCAGACCACACACATAGAACAGTTTCCAGCATCTTAATGTCTGATCATGGTCACCACAGGGCAGATTCAGGATAATTGGCTAATGTAGCTGCACATCAACATGGCTGCTTTGGGCCTCATCAGTTTCTAGTGGAACTGCCATTTTTCCTTTTAAAATAATAAGCCCTTTGAAGAAACTCATCTCCTTGCTTTCACTGGAAAGGTCAGCATTTGTTAAGTTTCTATTTCTTCCCTCCTCGTAGCAATAATGTAAATAGCCCAGAGTGGTCTTAAACACAGAGAAGATTAAGCCTAGGGAAGGAGCCAATTCACTTACTGAGAAACAAAATGATTGCCTCTTGACCAACTGATCAATAACTTATGCCAGACCCCAAGTGTTGGGACAAGGTCCACACTACAGTAAGCTACAAGGGATCTATGGAAGCTAGAACCCTGCACTCTCCTGCTTTTTGCCGACTCACCACTGCTTTTTAATCCTGAAGATATGGTATGAGGGGAGACTGGATTTCAAAATAATGCCAACAGTTATTTACCAATGCAGTCTACTTTTATTTTCTCCTCCTTAATTCACCCGTACTTACTCCCTTCCTCAATCTGATAATATCTCTTTCAACAACCATAACACTGGTGTTGCAAATAGATTAGGAAAGTACTCACAGCTGGATGAACTTGTACAAAGTGTATTCTCAGCATGTATATACAATACCATGCCTCTTCAATATGCTTCTCCTAAAGGGTGCACGCTGTAGCATGTACTGTGTGTATATTTAATATATCTTCCCAGAATATTCTGTATGCTTCATATATACATATATATTCTATAAATGAAATAAAATGTACAATAGAAATACATATTTCTGTATGCAAATAAATATATTATACACAAAATCTTAACATGCAATGTGGCATATATGTTGCTTCAGAGGAATAAGAGTAGATTTTCTGTGCTCCATTTTCAAAGACAGGAGCATTTGCATTTGAAGGAAGAGATTTAAGAACAGCCGAAATCCTATCCACATTAATATTCAACTGCTTTATCATCTTTGAGAGTCTGGCACTGATTTTAGATATCTCTTGGAGGAATAAATTAATAAATCTTGCTGGTATCACCCCATGTGACAGCCATGATTTCTTTTCCTGCGCCTGACAGGCCTGTGATGAGAACCTTCCCAGCTGGTGCAATTCCCACAGCTGTGTTGATCTCCTGTCTGATTGCCTGATGAGGCTGCCACCAACCCATTCTCACAGAGTTTCTCTCGTCCAAATTAACTGATTTTAGTGAAATAAGAAATAATCACACTGGGAGAAAAGGACGACCTTCAGAATGTTTTCTTTTCTACTGGCAAACAAAGTGGAGATGGTACAGACACTGTACTCTATAAACTACCTTTTTCAGTGTGGGTCCAATACAGCATCTCATACATTAAATGACAGTAAACTTTAATGAGGTACACAATCCAACTTTTCCAGTGAAATTATAAAATATATGGTTTATTTCTAAGAGCCCTAAGTTTTCTCCACGGTAATCTTCGTCCGTTTTGTGGTGTTCATTCAACTATCTACATTCCTTGGGGTATTTTCTATGAACTATAGCATAAGTTTATTATTATAAGGTGGTACTGGCCAGGCAATCCCATGAAACACATTTTAGTATGAAACACATAAACACTGAACATTAAGATTACTATTACAGAGACTGGAGAGGTGCCTCAGCAATTAAGAGCACTTGATGTTCATGCAGAGGACCAGAGTTTGGTCCCCAGCACCCAACTCCAGTTCCAGGGGATCAGACTCTCTTTTGGCCTCTGCAGGTAACGCATGCATGTAGTGCCCTTGTATACATACAGGCAAATCACTCATACACACAAAGTGGAAATAAATCTTGAAAAAAATAGGTTAATATTACAGTATAGATATCAAGGTGTGGATGGTAGAAATACTTTTTCAATCAATTTTAGTTTCCTTTATATCTCAGGACTTATGTTGATGTCTATCCAATAGCTAAATTTCACAGAGTAAAGCACAGTTCAACCCTGTGAACTCATCCTTCTCTATACCAATGTTAATTATAGAAAAAGTAAAGGGAAATTTTAGCATTATTCCAGTTACCACTGGCTTCAACTGTTCCAGTGAAATATTCGCATTTACACTGGAGAATTATAGTGGCCTTTTGCATAAATGAGGCATCAAAGGACATTGCTGATTTGGGAGTTACAAAGACTGAAACAAGAAAAGCATCTTGCCAACATTAAGTAAGAATTTTTCACATCATAATGTAAATCAGAATCCTTCCAATAAAGGAAATACAGTGTGGAAAGTTGTGGAGCCTAGGCGTGTGTTATTTATTTAGTTAAGTTTTTTGTTTGTTGTTTGTTTGTTTAAGGCAGTCTCTCAGTACAGTCCTGGCCTTGAACCTATGATTCTTTAGCTTCGGACTCTTGAGTGACAGGATTATAGGCATGAGAAAACACACTAGCTCAGTTTTGTGTTATATAAGCAACACAGTAGAACATCAGATCCTTGAATTCCTAAATACATACTGACATAGATATGGGAAATGGCAAAGAAAGAAAACGCTATTCATTCCCTAATACATATGTCATGTAACCAAAGATTTACTTAATTCTTAAACTACCCATGTATTTGAAATGGGGATACTTCTGAGGTTTTTCTTGGAGGATTTAAAAATGAGTGCCTTTTCAAGATATTATTGCAAAATGAGACACATTAGTGAGTACCCTGGGCGCCTGTGTTCAGCATTACAATGGGTTACAGCAGTGGCTAATTGAAATGAAGATAACAGCTAGCTGTGAAACTGACAAAACTTAGAAGCCACCCTCCTTAATTTCTTTCACACTGCCAGTCTTATCTTTATTTTCCTTGCTTGTGAAGCAAATGCTTGCCTTATGGCAGTATGAACTGCACTGTATTACACCAACTGTCAGTGGACCTCTTATACCATGTGAAAGACTTATTGAACCCCAGACAGTGTAGCCCTGGCCCTGATCTTTCAGTAGGTCTGAGGTGGGTCTGGGAAGCTTGTATCTAACACATTCTCAAATCATCTTTATGCATATCACACTTTGCGAATAACTTACTCCGTAATCTACAGAAAATTTTCACGACGTATCATAATAAATAGCAAGTTTGTACTCTTCAGGGCCAAAACCCCACAGTTAAAACATGACCCACAATAAAAGGAGATTTTTCTCAGACGTGAAGTTGGGTATTTACTGACAGAAGGGATTTTCATATTTTCTCTCCTGGGAGGATTTTGATTGTGTTCCCCCAACACCAGAAATTTTAAGAACCATATTGATGAATGCTTGAAAAGTCATTGTGGTATCAAAGTTTAAAGTCAAACAGGAGTGCTTTAAATTCTGTGATATTGGCATTAAAAACATATTTAGACGTATTTTAAATGACAACCTAACTGATTTATTTTTGCATATATTGTGCAAGTGAGCTTTAACAATAAATCATTTCATTATGTTGTTTAGAATTGCTATCATGTGAAAAGTTTGTATCTAAAGTGTAGTTCATCACATTCTCTGTGTACACATATATATGATTATACATATGCAGGCACATAAAACACACGTGAAAATACCAATGCATAAAAAGTCTACTATGTACATACACATGGGCACACAATCTCACCTTGTATATTTAACAGTTTCCAGAGATAAAACCTTTCTATAACTTCCAAAAACATTTTGAATTTTACTATAGGAAGCATTGAGCTCTAGGTAACAGTTGAATAACATTAAACTAAAAAAAATCTGCTTTCCTGTTTGTACTATGGCTGGTTCAATAAAGAACTGTCTCACAGCTGTTAGGGTCACAGGAGTTTCAACCCTGTATCTGTCACCAACGATCTTCTGGAGACCTGAAGGCCACCAGGTCACTGCATCCCAGGGATTGCCTGGGGCCATGGTGGAAATATATGCCAAGGTCAGAAAACACCTCCAAATTCATAAAAAATCTATAGGTGCATAGCCTCAAAATGGGACCATCAATAATAGAAAAGCCATACAATATGATGCTTTTTAGTACCAGCTCAACTATCTGCAGTGGAGAAGAGAAGGAAAAGCGATGACTTACTAGCATGCCCTATCCCAAATTCTTTTCATTCTTTCTGACATATATAATCCTTTATGGCTAGGGATAATACAGAAATTTAGACAGAATAATACTGGTAATTAGTTTAACTAAAACAAATGATTTCGACTCATTAGACCATGGACATCAACCATGAACACCACATGACCCTGTATTTTTTAACCTCCTCCTAACATTTGTTCTTTCAATACTCAGGGCTTGAATATTCCAATCCCACCTAATATCTACACTATGATGTCTAGAAGGAATAATACTATCCTTATTTATTATATCTTCCCTAATACCATTCAACACACTCTTCATACTATCCTTTATAATCCCTATCATCATCTTAGTATTTGCAGCTTGTGAAGCAGCCGTTGGCCTAGCACTATTAGTTATAGTCTCCAATACATATGGTACAGATTATGTCCAAAACTTAGATCTCCTTCAATGCTAAAAATCATTATCCCATCTATCACACTCCTTCCCTTAACTTGACCCACTAATAATAAAACAGCTTGAATTAACACCACATGCTACAGCTTTATTTCACTATCCCTACTTCACCAAGATTCTATAAACAGCTCTAACTTCTCCACAACCTTCTTCTCAGACTGACTTTCCACACCCCTCCTAATCCTAACAACCTGGCTTCTCCCCCTGATACTGTTAGCCAGCCAAAACCACCAATCCAAAGAACTGGAAGTTTATAAAAAAACATACATCAGTCTCCTAGTATTTCTTCAAGTATTCCTAATTATAACTTTTACTGCAACAGAGCTAATCCTGTTCTAGGAGTGATGTTTATTCTGAATATTCAACATGGATGTCAGACATACATCTGCCATTCAATTCAGCAAGATTACAAATCAGTTTATCTTTTTACGTTCTTGGGGGTCTCACTATTTGGAATAAGTAGTAAGAGAGTCACTTAAAGGTCAGATATTTAATGACCGAATAAAGCCATTTTCTTCTAAACTGTATTTGGTGACTTGATCTAGATATAAACCATAATTTGAACAACCTTGCATTTAAGCAGGAATAAAAAAAATGAGGGATAAAGAATGAAATGGTAATAAAAACTAAGAATGAGATGAGCAATAAAATGCGTCCGTCCAGAACAACATACTCCTAAATTCTTTCAAACATCGACAGCAAAGTTTTGATAGAACACCCTTTCTTTTCCCAGTTGGTTGTAATTTTTTCTTATGTGCTCATCATTTCTTTCTTATGGGTATTTTTGTGAAGGCCTTTAAACTAATGGTGTTTTAAAAAAATTTTTATTTTATGTGTATGCGTGTATTGTCTGCATGTAGGTAAGTGTACCCATGTCATGCAATGCCCACGGAGTTCAGAAGAAGCTGTCGGATCCCCTGGGACTGGAGTTAAGTAGAGTTGTTAGCAGCCATGTGGGTGCTGGGATTCGAACTCAGGTTTTCTGCAAGAACAGTCAGTGTGCTTAACTGCTGAGCCATCTCTCCAGCCCCAAACTAATAGTGTTTTAAAGGTGGCGTCTGTAAAGATTTTAAGAAACAAAAGCAAAAGTTGGTTTTCCCCACACTTGCTTTTTTGTTGTTTTGATTTTTGTGTTTTTTTGGTATTAGTGTAATTTTTAACAAGGAATCCAAAGATAATCCACATTTTATATGTACTTGAGATTGGATGTATATAGTATTTCTATAAATTTTGAAAACTATAAATTTTATTTATACAAGAAACTGACATATTTAAGAGGACAATCCTAGGAACTGAATGGAAAATTATTCACAAAAACAAGAACCAAGGTTATGTACCAATGGAAAATATTCAGCGTAGCAAAGACGTGTAGGCTGAAGTGCTGATGATGCCTGTGTGCAAAACTGAAGTGAACTTCCCAGTTCAGTGCTGAGGAAATAGGGATGCCAAGTCCCAGGAGAGCTGGAAAGTGACTATAACATGTCATGTCCAGAGACGTGCTCCTGCCAAATTGTCTTCTTAAATAAAGCAGTGCAGCAGTGAGAAAACACAACAAATACCAACATAAAATATCACGCATTCCTCCCCCCAAATGATTCACTATATTTAGAATCTATTTGTGAATGCCTTGGAAGTCAAACTGTGAGTGGTCCTGGCACTCTGGTAAGGAATTTCCTTGGTTATAGGTAGTGTACTACTTCAGTGGAAGCTAGTGGGATCTTGGGAATGACCCTTGAAGACTTTCATTTCACTTTCTCCATGTACCAGAAGAAGACTGTTCCAGTCTGCTCTTTCAGTCCTGTGATCTGTGTTCCTAAAATTCCTAATATAGTGGGGAGACAGAGTTCAGGCTCCATAAGGTCTCTAGAGCAGCTCTAGAAGTGAGGAGGGCCATGGGTGAAAATGTCAACTTCTCCCATTTCCAATGATACCACTGGAAATGAA